ATAAACGCATACATGCTACATTCGCATATACACAAACACACATGTACATACACACACACACACACACACATACACACACATACAGTGGAATACGAGGGAAGGATATGAAATTACATCAAATTAGTAAGGGAAACGTGAAAGTAAACGGCGAACTGTGAAGTTTTGTGACTGAGTGTTAAAATTGGTCCGCAGAATTGTACCATGGTATGAGTTTCAGCTCATATCCCGTCAATACCAGTGGCGGTACTTCCTGGCAATTTTGTGCCTCTTCGATGCAAACCGCCATTTTGCAATCCATTCTTGCATAATCTTGCCTGGGGCGTTGACGTGGAACCGGGCGACGACTATCTCTTCGATGGAGGTACGTTCAACTTTTTCATCCAGCACTTTGCAGACAGCGGCGCTGCCCCTTCCAAGACACCTCTCGCTTGAGCTACTCGTTTCTGCTTGTCATTCGCCGTCTCTGTTCGACATTAAAAGACAACTCAGTCATCGCAAGCCATGCCAGTGGTTGCTTTTTTGTCAAAGACAATTTCCAAGTTGCATAAGATTTCTTGCTTTCTAAGGTTTTTAAGCATGCGCCTCAATTTCCTGTTACTGCCATTATGCACCAGTTACGAGAAAATGTATACGGGAAGCTCTCTGAGGGACAAAAGTAGCTCTAGAGAGAATGAAAAATGACTAGCAGTAGTATTAAGACAGCCCGGAGATTCAGTGTGTCCTTGTTGCTGGAATGCTCCCAGACTTCAGAAGCAGTTACGCCTAGCCCTTCCTAATCCTGAGCTGCATACGTTCAGTTATTTATCACTACCTGCCCGATGTTTGTGAGTCACTTTCACCGAGTGATCATCTACTTCCTCATAGCTACCACTCACCAATGCGCGATGTTCACCAGTTGTCAGAAAATCGAGAAACAAAACAAAAATTTTACTGTAACAAAATTTACTCTTTCGTGGTCGCAATTGATATCAAATCACCGCTTATCTCTCGGAGAGATGCTTGGTATGTTTGCCTTGTGGCCATGAACATACTCGTCAAGAATTCTTGGCTCAGATGTTCCATTCTCTTTTTCTCAAACTGTAAAAAAAATATCGTTTACGAATTAAAAAAAAAGCATTCTTTCAGGTCTGGATTTTCCAATTCCAGTTGCTCCGGGCGGCGTTGGCGTTCGTTTCCCATTGAGCGGTGCCGTGAATGTTGGTTCGGATCCATTTCTGCTCACATACGGACATGGCCTGGGACCTGCTGAACCACCCAATTTCCAAACCAAAAACAAATTTTCCAATTCTGCTCGTCGAAAGCGTTCATTAGCGGCGCAGCTGTCCCGCATTCATTATCTGTATTTTATGCGTGAACGGTGACTGTAGCGTTTTGCATATTACGCTGTGTTGCGGAGCACTGTACTTGTCAGATGGACAGTGATGGGATGCAAATGTGGCCCGGGGTTATGAATTCAAGACCAAAAAAACCTTTTTTTTTCGGAAATTTTTTGCTCACACCAAGACGTTTCCCTTAGGTATCACTTATATGCATATTTGTGCTTGAGAATTTGCTTTTATTTGCCAGATCCGTTGTAAATGCTTCTGAATACGCCCAAAATTAAATACAGATTTATGGAATCCATAAATCCTTTTCTCTTTTTGAGCTTGCCACTGGACATTTTAAAAGATCAGCATGAAAAGCATCTGTACTAGCGCTGTCATTTGTTGTGCACCTTATCACAAATATACATAATTTATTTGATCTACCCGGAAGCACCACTTATTATGCGCTTTCTTTATTTGTAATAATAAAAATAATATGCGAAGCGACGATTCAGTATGATTTTTTTGGTGTTTCTATCACACACACTTTCGGCTCCCTATACAAAACCGCATGATCACACCGGCAAGCCTGGGACATTCCAGCCTGAGTATTGTTATGGAAACGAAATTCCGACCACGGCAAGCGGGATGTCAATACAAGATGAAATTGTATGTTCAACATAGATTCTGAGATTTGCGTGGACATGATTTTAAAACTGAATAGCTGTGCATCAACAAATCCTAAGATGAGCTAGTCGAAAATTACAGAGAAACAAGTAAACTGCTGTAGAAGAGGTAATCTCGACCAGCAAGTATTTATGGCATATTACTGTGTCCTATGAATACCAGCCGAAAGAGAAACTCT